ATTTCTTTAAGTCTTACGTAGTAATAAATCTTTTTCTTTTATGTTATTAGTCGTGTTATTAGTAGCGCTTTCTTTTATGATACAGATTGTCATATGTCGGCAATTTATTAAATGCCGCCGATATACGATACGCACGATGCGCGCCCTCAATCGAGAGTCTTTCTGGTCAACGACTGTCAAAGTCTTCTTTCGATCGCCCATTAATATCGTGTTTCAAATGGCGACATTGTCTTATCGTCTGGTTATTTTCGCTGCTTTCTTCTCTTCCCTTTCATTAACGCGGAAAGACAGGTGACAGTGTCATACGACGAATATTACGCAGATTTGCCTTCGTCATCGGCTCCTTTCATATCGGAGCATCCTTATTCTTATTACTTTATTCTTTAATTAATTACTTTGACTCTTTACCAACCAGATTTTATTTGCGCGAATCTCCTTGCGTTAACGGTACGAAAATTGTGCTTTTTCTCGCGCTCGTATTTCCGCGATTGTGCGGCTTCATCTACAATCGATACTTGACATTTACTTCCATCAATCACACGTTAAAATTATATTAATATATAGCAAATTCTCTGCATCGGAGATTGCCAACGCCTACTCATGAAACTTTAATATGAAATGTCGATCATATCGAAATTGCGTTTTCTATTTCATTTTCTTGTTTGATTCATCATTAGGTACTCGCTGCCTCGTAAGACCTTGGAAGAGCATCTTATTGGAAATTATTAATAATTCTAGTATTATCGTAGGTGGAATGATATTTTCCACTTTTATTTACTTCGAAATAAGAGAAAAAGGTTAAGCAATTAAATAAATTCGAAGATTACAAAATATATATCGTTATAAGACAAGTTTCACTAACATAAAAGATCCGAAAATAAGCATCGAAATTGCGATACGTTGCGTTTTCAGTTTTACCAACATAGGCCAATTTTTTTACAAGTTCGTGCTATTTGTCAAATAAGCAAATTGACACTCGAATAGGAAACTTCTGAATTTCTCAGACAAATTTTTGAAGGAATTTCTGAAATTATTCATCAAATGTCATACCTCGATCAGTAATCAGCCTTATATCACTATCCTCCCCAACGAATGATTTACCGTGATGCCGCAAGCAAAACGAGGATGGCAGCTTGAGACGCCACCAGACGCGATTGAATTATCGCGCGACTATCGAATAAAGTTTATGGAGCCGAGACTGCGTCTAAACTCGTTATTCGTCGAGTGGCTCGGCACAGAGCGACCTTATACGGTCTCAGAGCAATCTATCATAACTCCTGTCAGGCCTCGCAGTGTAATTATCGATTCCCACATATCGAATATCGCGACCGCGGCCAGATATTCTGATTACAGATCACTGCCGCTGCGAAAAGGTCACGTTTAATCGCGCACAATATCCGATGACATGTATGACACGGGCGCAGCAACATTTACGAAATTAAACTTCCTCGCTGTCGGAGAATTCGTCGGTCGAATCATATCTTCAGGTACATATCGTTCTTGCGGCACCTCTCATGTATTCCTTGACATTTACAGTTCCGTAGTCCAAGCTCTCTTGATTCTGCACTTTCCTCTGATATGCCTCCAAATAGGTGTCGACGTTTCTGTATATGCCAGTGTTCGCTTGGTACATCAGAGTCTCGAGGATAGACTCGTTCTTTATGATTTTCGTCGGCAGCACGATCTAGAAAAATGAGAGAGCAATGTTTCCGTGTTTACGATAACGAAAAATATGATTTAAGTATCGTCTAAATTGCTATTTGTATTTATTAAATTTTCAATTAGGTTTAAATTATTATTCGGACAATTTAGATAGTTTCTAGATAGTTTTTGTTTTTAATCTTTAATATCCAGTAAATGTTAGCAACGTTTGCTGTCTGCGATATTACCCATGTTTTTCTTTGCATCTTTATTTTTTCAATACGCACCCTAATTAGTTCGTTAGGTGTTATCCTATACAACTTGATATCCTTGCTGAGTCTCTCCATGATACACTTGAACTCCACTTTAGCGTCGAGCTTGCTCGATTTAGTTTTGATCCTGTGCTTCGCCCAACTTAACATCGCCTCGAATTTCTTGATTTCCGCCACCTCGAGGGTGTGACGGCTCATGATCATCTGCACCATCGACTCGCTCAGAGTGAGGAAGTCCGGGTTCTGGAAGAGCTGATAGACCCTCGTATCGACGAATGCGAAGATCATGTTGACTAGTTCCGCGGCGGAAGTGTAACGCCAGTAGTAATTCTCAAGTGCGCATAACATTACGCAGACAACCTCAATTCTGAGGAACTGCTTGGCGTGATGGAAGCAAGCCTGAAGGAGTTCCGGGAGATCGTAATGCTCCGCGGCGCATATCAGACCCGGTATATTGCTGCACGTGAGCGGGCAGGATCCGGTATGCAAATAATCCAGTAGAATTCGGAAAGTCTCCGGGTCGAACTCGATGATATCAAACTGAAAACATATATTTTTATTAATAAGAGATTAAAATCGCAGTCATAACGGGCATATTATTCTTAATAATCTAATATTTTATATAGAATTATTATAATTACTCAGCAATGATTTAATATCAATCAGCAATTGTGAATTGAAAATGTAATGGACATATTAAGTGTTAGAACTTACTGTAAGGTAGAGAATAATGAAAAGAGCCAAGGGATTTAATCACACGCAAGATATTAAATATTATGATTTTTTAATATAGCTGTGATATTGATTATACACTTCTCAGGATATTGCAGTTTTGTGCAATAACATGGTCTTTTTGAAAAGCTCTTTTTATATATATTTTTTTTTTATATCAAGATACGCGTCTGATATTGACGTTTCGCTTACCTCGGTTTGCGCTAGTTTCGCTCTATCTACTTTTTGCGCGTCCGCGCAAACGCTGAGTCTCGGCACCGCCAATGATTGGGCTGCTTTGTCCTTATCTTTCACTTCTTTATCTGAAAAGGAAATATTTAAATTAGATCCTTTTACGCTACTGCAAAGGAATACAAACTTACACAAAAAAGTATCTTTACGTTATTTTTAAATTAGAATTATTATTTTATTATTTTCCCATCGTTCACATAATTGTGCATTATATTTTAATATAAAATTAAACGAAATATGAACAAAAAGTACATAAACATAAGCTGTTGAATTTTTCTCGTAAGAATCGAGAACGTACTACTGCAATCTTGCGAGCTAGCCCATCGTTTGCGATCCTCGCTCTGCAGAGTGTTGCCACTGCTGTGTTTTCTGATGCTTCGTCCCCATCCCGCCGTGATCGTGCCCAGTCGCGAGAAGGCCCGCTTCACCATCGGCGATGAGGGCACGCTTTTGGGCCTAAACACATCAGAACCAGTATCTCACAGAAACCGCGGAGCGGCACCTCAAGGTATGGAGATGGAATTTACGGGCGTTTCACGCAGAGACCAGGATTAGTGTAAAGTGAAAAGGAGCCGGTTATAATTGATAGGAGGAAATATCGAAATGTAAAGTTACGAAACAAAAACGAGGCAACAACGAAAGCTTACTCTCCGAATTGATAATTTGTACGAAATCTCAACGTGCGTAGAATCGACACCACTTTGTGCATAATTATCGGATCCACAGCAGCGGCACAAGAAACCTTTTATCAAATTGTTCACACAATCGACAATTTGTTACATGAAATTTAGAATATAGAAAGACGACAGCAAACTGCACTGATACAAATTCATTGGTGATTACGTCACAATCAAAGTAAAGAAGGCATACTTGGTGATTTTCAACATTACTGATGGACAGAATAGAAAAACAAAATCGTAAGATACAGATTGTAAGACAGCACGCCGCATAAAAATACCAGCGAGAAGAATGACAGATCTCATTCGTAGAATTTTGTTGTTCGTGAAATATTTTTTCTTTTTTTTCTGAGCGATCGAAGCAAGGCGAATCGGCCGTGAATCATATTGTCCAACAGAATATTGCAGGTGTTTCTTAGAGAAGAGCATGCCACATTGAGTCCAATATACGATACATGGTTTGATTAAATTTACAGCTCTTGCATATACGATAAATTAAGTATATATATATATAAATAAATAAAGAGTTACGAGATATAATCATGCGGTGCCGTGAGGATAGGAGACATGGATGTGCCGTGAAAAAATACATATATTACGATCCAATAACGATATAAATATGAAAGAAAACATTCGACACTGAGAGATTCGCAGGCAATTAGTCTCACCCAATTTTTACTCTCGTTTTAGAGAAATCCAATTTCTATCTCACACAAAAATATCGCATAATCCACATTCTTGTCCAATCTTCGATCGACATTCTAACGAATCCGATTGCTCAACGTTCTACGCGAACGCCCTCGAGTCAGTTTTGCAACTTTGCAGATTCGTTTTATTTTCTTCAATTTGTTTAGCGAATTTAATTGCGAAGCTTACCAGTTTTTGTATTTCACTTTCCATCGCTTTAATGAGCGAACTTCGATATCAACAATTTTGAATTGGATTTACGAGATAAGTATTGTACTTTGGAATAACAACAATCTTGATTGTTAGAACGTACCTTGGACTTTCCATGTCGGGGACTTGAAGGAAGTTTGAGCTCTTCGGTTTCTGCGGGCTGAGCAGCGTCGGTACCGGTCTTGCGAGTAATTCAGCAACTGGTACTTGTGGGCTTCCGAAGCCCGCTTGAATCCCGTACAGCATTTCTTGAAACACTCTGTAGAGAACAAAATATCAATGAATAAATTTTCACGCGCGAATATATATTGAATACAAATAAATTTTTTTATGCGCAAACAACTTTTGGATACTTTCGTTTAGAGCAGACACGTCTGTTATATCATTCACCAGCCGATCGTAATATAGATTCATTTATTCATTGAATTTCAAATTTCTATAGATTATTTCAGACTCATTAATTTGCAAATCACTAAGCTAATTAGAGAAAATATTTATCTCATCTCTCAATTCAAAACAAATGGACTATTAAATTATTGAGAAACATTTTTCTGTACTAATAAAAAGTAATCAATTCGTTATATTTTGACATAAAATATCTTAGATTTTATTACAAAATGAGCAAATGCTCGGAATCTTTGAAAAAAAGAAAAAGATATTTATTAAAGGCTGTTACCTGCTTCTTACTGCTAGAATCGCTCTAACGCCGATGAATCTAACTTTTTGTTTTTGCTGTCCCGGCACGAGGAAAGACACATCGAACAAACTAGCGTTTAGTGTCACATTCGCTGAATTATTGAGGAACACTCGGGTGAAGTCCTTTGCGAGCTGATCGTAATCTTCAAATTGATCTCGTACCGAGTCCAGTAACGGCGAAGACGGTCTCATGTGTCCGATCGGTCGCCAAGAGCCTCGCCTAGAAATTTATGATCACAAATTCGGCTGAGCATATAATAATTGATCGGATACTTTATGATCGACGATGTAATTAATGAATAACATGCAAAAGCAATTAAATTGCTCATTTGTTAGATATCTACATTTTAATATTAAAGATATTTAACATCTCATACATTATGCAAGAAATATTATCATCACGAAAATTTCGCGAATACAGAATAGATTAATTCAACGCGAAGTAATTTCGTAATTATATTTTCATCGTGCTCTTTTACCGTGCAATCGTTTATTCGCGAATTTTTGAATATTATTTTTGCAACCGCGTCTCACCTGTACGGTTTCGGAATCTGTCCGGTTTCCGCGTGATTAGCGAGATTCGCCACGATGTCCTCCAGCATCTGACTTCTCGTGCGCTCCTGCATTCTCGCGAATTTCGGCGCGGAGTAACTCGCCCTCTCGCCGTTCACGATTTTCGTTAACATCCATTCTCGGAACATTGGACCTGTTGCGCCGCGAAATCCAATTCGATAGATAAGCCCAATGTAAGAGAAGTTTTAAGCTGACATTATTCCGAAGTAACCAGTCAACATAACAATTCCGATATTATTTACACTGCTTTATTTCCCGTAACTGACAATTAAAAGTTCGGTAATTGTAACATAACGCTGAAGTGAAAATTAGCAAAACATTAAATTCACGAAACTTTGTTACAAACGATCAGGATTCATAATGAAAGTTATAATATGTAATTATGCAAATTGTAATTATAAATTATTTAATATTCATAATGTCAATGATTAAATGTTAGATAAAGTAATGTCTGCTCTGGTATGAGAGAGAGAGAGAGAGGAAAAGTATTGAACGGCAGTGCAATAAATTTTTTTCAAAGCTCAACTTAAAACGCTGAGCGAAATTAACTCTCTTTTTAGTCGCGTTCTTTTTTTTTTGTATTTATTGCAAAATTGTAACCGCACCTTTCTCGAAAACACTTTGCTCCCATAGATACGGTTTGTAGGCCCCAACTTCGTCCCTTGTGACAACGGACACCTCGTATCTCGTGATTTTCCGCTTAATCCGTGGGCTCACTCGCACCAAGATAAATGTGTGCAAAAAGTGCGACTTGATGCAAGCTGGACTGAAGCTCGTATTGTCGGCTTCCAAAAATACGACGCACACTATATCGTTGCCAATGTGTCTTTTTCTCTGGAGCTGCGCGAGCAAACAAAGATTTTCGACTAAATTCCCGTGACACTTTTATCGTCTAAAATTCTTCTACTTTCGGGCAAAAAATAAAACTCAGATAACAATGCGAGTGAATTAATGACTCACTTTTTGAGGATCGTGTTTCTCATAAGGCAATAAGGTGGATACGTGGAACATTATCTCGATACCCCTCCAGTTGGTGTAGACAGAATATAGGCCCGTCAAATCGTGCACGGTGTCGAGACCGCCTTTGTACTTGTCGAAACCCTTCAGCCTAATTTTGTCGCCGAGAATCTGCAGGAATTCCTCGAAGAGCGGCGAGTTATCGTTGTTGTCGAGTATCTCCTCCTCGCTGTACTGACCTTCCTGGACATAAATCATCCCCACCTTCAACTCCGACTTGATAAAAACTTGATCGAGCTTCAAAAGCTCTTCGGGCGTGTCTGGCAATTGGCCCAAGATCAGCGGTGGATTGATGTTCACCTCCTTGCCGAGGCTACGTACAACTTCTTCTCGATTGTATCTGCAAAAAGTCTATCATATTTCACGTGTCCTACAAAAAAAAAAAAAATTGCTAATTGCAACATGTATTGTACTGACAATCTTAATCCATTAAACGCATTTGACTATATAAGAATAAATTTCTGAAATGATTGACGATGTGTTTCATCACTATAGTTCCATTAATTGAGGAAAATATTTGTGCGCAAATAGAATGTGACTCAGATAGTACCGATCAGCAAACACGCAGCTGGCGGGGATAAGGCCGTGGACCGTGTAACTGATCGCTCGAACCAGAATCCTGAACTGGTCCCGGCCGTTGAGCGTCTCCTGTTTGATGCTGAGTATCACCGGCCCCAGATCCTCGTCGTTCGTGAAGTAGTTCCAGTGCTCCGAGCCGTAGAAATACTTCTCGTAGGTCTCCTGCTCGACCGAGGTGAGCTCGAAGCCCTGATTCTTCTCCCATTGTTCCTCGATAGTGGTCTTCTTCCGCGGCACGTCGTCCGTGTCGACCTCGTTTTCCTCAAACAGGCAGAAGCTGTTATCTTTCCGCTTCAGCATCAACGAGCGCTCCTCCACCGTTTGCTCCTCCACCTGCTCGGGATCGGTAGCGTCGCGATCGCTCTCGCTCTCGTCCCAGATTGTGTCCGACGTGATCTGCTGCCGCGAGCATTCGATCCAGTAGCCGGGCGTCGGTATCAGGTTGTGCGGGAACTCTTGACAGAACTCATCTACGGGGAAATTTACTCTCAACTTGCATTTTTACTTCAAATTTGTCTTTATAGATCGTTGTAGATTTTATCCTCTATAATAAGTAGTGACAAATAGTGAGCAAAGTGAATCTCTTAGAGGGAATACAATTAGAATGAAGACAATTAGAGTGAGTAAGACTGTTCCCGGCAAAGTTTTATCTTGATCGCGCTTTTGAAATGTTAAAGTTCCGTCGTTCAAACGAGAAATCGCTAAAGAGCATAATCATCAAGAAGTAATATCGCAGCGTAAAAGTTATTACATTGGCATGGTACACGTTGTACGTAAATGCAATAACCCTCGCCGTTTTCATCATGAAGCGCGCGCGGCCGTCGATCGAACAATTTCACTCAAAGCGAGATTAGCGCTAATTAATCCTGCTCGACTAGCGCTCTCCTCGGCGGAGCAAATTGGTGAACGATGGCGTCGACGGTGTCTTTGTTCTCCGGGGGGGGGGGGGGATTGCGAAAAGAACCGGACAGATCCTCGAGGCGAAAGGGGTTTGTTTGAAAATTAGAGGAACAAGGAGAACGAATTGAAGAGAGACAGAGAGTGATGGAGAGAGAAAGCGAGGAAATCGGACGGGGCAAATAGCATCCGAAGACAAGCACTCCGTCTGAAATCATTAAGAGAGGAATCCGATCCAACAAAATAGCGCCTCGAGGGAGAGTGAATCGACCGTAAGATAGAACTCAGCAACGGAGAATCTCGAAGAGATTCTCCCTCCGCAACATGGAACTCACGTCCACTTAAGCACGTATCGCCGGTAATATGTTTCTCTTCTTCTCCGCGCCCCTTCCCGCGCCGAGCGCCTCGTTTTATCAATCTTCGTCTTCCTTCCTGTCCGCCGCTCCTTTTCCCGGACGCGCGGCTGTCGACGATACCGCGGTCGATTCACTGTAAGGTAGAACACCAAGCTGTTTGCAAACAGGGCTTGGTATTCGAACTTAGAGTGAGCCGCCCGCGGTGGCCCTCCTCTTCTTCTCCCACGCTGCTGTGCGATTCGACCTAATTACTAGGCGTCCTTTGTCCCGCGTATAATGGCCGTCCATATCTCACCGGAAATCCAAATTTTCAACGCCAGTGGCTGAGGTTTCCTCGGGGACATTTTCGTCCTTCCCCGAAAGAGGCCGAGCTCCGACCATTTGCGCTACGACGCGAAAGATCTCGGTGCGCGCGTCGGAAGAAAAGATCATTTTTCGGCATATCGTAATCTTGACAATGGAAATTTAGGAAGCTAGCACGGAAGCTTTCGAAATATGTCCACGTGATAATCCAGCTAAAGAAACTCCGACGGCTGTTGTTCCTTCTGTTACGCGTATTTGTTTGCGATCGCGCGTCTCCATTTACGTACGACTTACATTCTCTTCTCGAATTCGGCATCAAAAGGTAGCTTCGCACATATAATCGTGCGTAATCCAAGACGGGCGGAACCACCTGTAGCTTCGTCTCATACATATGTACTTGTGCAAAAGTCGGCAGCTTCGGTGCTCGCGCGACGCCGAGGTCGTTCGCGGATACCGTAGCGCAATGGTAAGAAAAGAGAGAGAAAGCGAGTGATCTCGACGATGACGAAAGAGCACTTACCGGAGCACGCCTGAGGTGGCAGCGGGAAGATCAGGGTGGTCGAGGACTTTCTTCTCGCAACTGCGCAGCCTAAACTTTGTGGCTTGAAGCTGCGCAACTGCTGCATGAAGTCCGAGCACTCCATCAGCGCCACGTCGGCAAAGTGCAGATCGCAAAGTATCTGATTCTTGAACCTGGGAGGTAGAACGACTCTTAAAATCGTTTGTACAAACGAGTGGTGCTTTAGAAGCGGCTGCTTTTCATCTCTTCGCCGAGATAGCATTTGTAACCGCGGCTTGAATATGCATGAGAGCGGCAATAATACCTTCGGCGTGAATAACAATGACATTTATATTCTTAGCATTTATTTGTAAAGACATGAACTCGTACGCGAAAGCAATACAAATGAATAATGATTGCAATTTATTTTTCTTCAACAGCGCGATAAAATTCTTTTTAATATCAAATTTGAAGTTGTCAAAGTTATGAATAACTGAATTGATATTTGCATTAAATAACGGATTGATCACACAAGATTACTCGAGCGGACAGGCCAGATTGTATCAGGGGATCAAAAATTTCTCCCATTGATGCGTTCCATTCCGATGTGATAAAAGCAGCAATCTTAAATCTTATCACGGATGAAAACAATCAAGAAGAATGAAGTTTCATGGGAGTTGCTTGATAAAATGTGAATCCGTCGTGGTGTCTCGACGACACGGCCGTTATTGGAACACGCCGACTCCCTTATCCCCTTTATCGTCTGCTATTATCGTGCGGATTTACGTGGTACCAATTAAGATCACGGACAACGGCCAAGATTTGTCAGAAATGTGGTAATCTGTATGAAAAAAAAAAAAGACATCCATTGCAATTTATTTCATTCTTGAGATATATCACGAAAGTCCGAAAGAAATGTTACGTATTTGTCTTAGAATTATATATAAATTTTTCTATTTTATATAACATTTGTGAACATTTGCGAAGAGGATTATTTATTTCTTAGAACTTTTAGTTCGTAGAAAACCTGCTAATGCGTAAGGAACCAAATTTCTTAACACATTTGTGTAAAATCCTCGTTAAAGCTCACCGATATTTTGCGAGTATTCAACACAATCGAGTGTCGCGGACACAAATCATTGAAAATATTTCCTAAGCTCTCTCTCTTCATCTGACACTTCTATTTATATTTTCTCCGGCGACAGGCCGCGGCCCCGTTCACATAATACAGTGACGCATTAGCGACCTGCATAAAGGTTGTAAAACGGCCGGTAATCGCATAACGTTACATTAAAATGTCCATTCCAATTCAGCCTGCATCTGACAGGATTCCGCACGCTATTTCCACGGCCAGCCCTGTCCGTGCGTCGGAATAATAAATATTTTTCGATAAACTCTCGCGCTCTCGCTGGAGGAAGCTCGTCGAAGGATGATATTATGACGTATTATGACACGGCGTTTTTAACGATGGCTGGGCGATAACGCGCGCCATAACGTTCGCTGAATCGCAAATGGGCTCCTCTGTATCGGTTGCTACGGTATGGAAGGATATCGTTCGTCCTTTTATCCGGGGAGGGGAACCACGTTAAAATCGCCGATTGAACTCTCGTCGCACGTGACCCGCGATTGAACGAAGCGAGGGGGATGGCTTTCCGATCGACTGAGCCCGGCGATCATCCCCCCAGTATATAAAGGCTGTGACGTATACGAAACGTTCTCAAATGGGAAACGCGATGGATAGCCCGTGCGTTCATTTAAAGACTGAATTTTACCGGCGGCATAAATTCAGCCGAACGCGCGAGCGTGCGAAAACGCGATATTTGCGCGAACCGGAGACGGCATTCCGATTGGTTGAGCAGCGCTCGCACTCTTAACAAAACCAAAATAATTTTCTCTGTGAGGTGTTCGATAGCGCATTCATCTCGTTGAATTATTTCTGATCGCGACGATCAGATTAATCGAGTTCGTCGGACGGACGCTCGTGACTTTGCCGTTTGATTGTCCACCGTGTCGGATTTGTCGGACTCGAAGTTACCGTGCTTGTCGCGGAAAAGTAGTAAAAGTCAGACGGCGACGTGATGTATAGACAACGAAAAAAGAGCCTTTCCCTGTCGCGATCTATTGACGCCTTTCTCACCTCGCCGGACAAAGTGTTAAATCACGAACGGAATATCTGTCCGCTTGTGACGGCGCATTTCAAAAGCGCAGTTCCGTGATGACTCTTTGGCTGACTGAGCTTCTCATATTATACAAAAGGTGTTATATATATCCCGCGCACTTTATTTCACTTGTGGATCACTGCGGATCGTTTATAAAATTGTAAACTAAAAAAGTTTGTAATAATTATCAAAGAAAGAGATGCATTTTTATATAGGTATTTTTATATAGGTATTATATGATGATAATAAAAATAGAGTCACTCGAATTCTGAAAATTGAATTAAGCAATTGCATTTTATTTATTTATTTATTTCACTTTATACTCTATACGTTTGTGACTACTGAAATGCAGATCGAACGATATTTCGCTCGCATCTATTTTATCATACATATTCCGAATATGCGGCATCCAGTCTCGGAGACTGAAATATCCTGAGAATTCAGCGTCACCGGGTCGTCGATGTCGTAGATCTCGTTTCATATGCGTTCTATTTTTTTTTTTTTTTTTTTGAAAAATATGAGGGGAGATATAGAGAGCGAAATTATGGAGCAAATAGCATAGACAGGCTCTTGTCTAATACTGTACCGCGCCGGTTATTCACGTTCCTCTTCGGCAAACGGTGTTAAATTGCGGATGAAAATTATAGAGTGCGTAATAGCATTGCGCAAATGACGTTGCCGGCGATAAAACTGCTCGCTTTATTGTATGATTAAGCGTTTTTCTGCGAACAATAGGGATTTCAAAATAGATAGATACAAAATGCAAAATGCATTTGTGCCCAGCCGATGTTCGTTTTACAGGTGTGTTTTTGTACGCTGCTAAATGCAGATTGTGTGAAATCAGAGCGGAGATAGTAAAAATTAATAAATCAACTCGCAAATAATGAATGATAATCTGAACGAAAATCGCAATTTGTGATTCAGCATTTTTCTGCCAATTTCCGCAGCATGCATTACCTTTCTACGCACAATGATGGACCAATATAAAATGTGATTTTCTGCAATGCAAGCACTTAAAGCAATGTAAAATTTCCCAAAAATCTGCGTATGCAAAAAGAAAAGATTTATCTTTTAAAAAATTATTTCTGTACAAAGCAAATTTTCGAAACGGTATTTGATTAATGGCCGCAGCACAGTTGCGTTAAAAGTCTCGACGAGATGAGGATGCCATAAAACGAGTGCAATAATGAAAAATAAAGAAACGTGTTTCCACACTAATGAGGCATAATTAGATGGATTACGACAATACTGATTAAACGTGATATCGTTTCACGGATTCGCTCGAAATATAAACCGCACCGAGAGAAACGTGGTTTCATCGTACTCACCGTCTCGCTCGCTTTTGATTGGGTCCCGTGAGATTCAGGCCGCAGCTGTTACATTTTAGGCACTCCTCGTGATAGTGGTTGTTGTCGTATAACGGCGACGGTTCTTGAAACAATAAGCACAGAGATAGACGGAGATCTTGGCACTGCTCCATGTTGCATAATACGTGACAAGTATTTGTAGACCGCGCTTATAAATTTCAAAACGAGAAAAAAGTCCACGAGTCTTGAAATTTTTCTTCCCTCTTTAATTATAATTAATAAAATATAGCTGCATTTTCCAAATGTCCTGCATATAGGGTGGACTTTTTTTCCGAGTATATTTTAGTAATAATTAAAGAGCGAGATAATTAAAAAGATAAACGTTTCGCTACACGTCCATATGGATTTTTTTCTCGCTTTTACATTCTTCATTCTACTTTCCGCACATTACGTAACACCCTCTTTCTCGTTATCGCCATTAAAACCACCGGAGTGTCCGGGAAAACTTGTCCATCATCCTGTTCCATTTGCACTATTTTTCTACCTCCGTATTTTCCAATCCCCCCTCTCGCTCTCGTGTCCTTACTTAACTACCCTTCCGCGAGGTCGTGTCGGGCTGAGCTGGGGTGTGGTCGCCGCTCTCGTGACACCGCACCACACCGCACACCAATACGTCGGAGGCCGTAAAGAATTCCAGCGCGTGCCGGGCATGGAATTTTGATATCGAGAGGAAAACGGGCGTCGCGATGCCGCCGCCGCGCCGCACCGCGCTGGGTTTCGTCGGGAAGCAGGGATGGCGAGGTGTTCGTGATCGCCGCGATACGTAATAATTGCACGCATGCACGCACGCATATCCGTCAACGAAGGCTCATACATGCATATTGTGTACTGGGTGTCTCGTAATTCCAATATTAACCGAGCTGCTCCAAATTGATAATATTCTATTAACATAATAATTCTTATTTTTAATTCAAAATTTGGCAAAATTAAAGATGCAAACTTAAGATTGACTTAAGGCAGCGTAAAAATAAAAATAATACGATATGATGGTATGAGAAGTTTAAAAATATGACAAAAGTACAAAGTTTTTATTTCTGCTTTAATGCTACTTTTCTAACGTATATTTCTCACGAAGATAGAGAATATTCGTGATATGAAACAAACTGGAACAATAAAATGTTAAATTATAGCAGCAGATATAGAATGACGTGTTTTTCGAAATATCTTGGAACGAATCATGGATAAATATCCATATAATGGGTTTAACCTAGAATCGTTTCAGGAAACAGATCATCTAAAAGCTGTTCCGGGAAGTTGCGGAACAACGTCTGCACAATAACATCCTTTCTCCGCTATCCGGTGCACAAAGTGCAGATATGCTGACTTGGAACTTCTTGTTAAACTTAAGTTGTCAGAAAGTTATATATAATATATAATGTTTATTATTACGTTTTAATAATGACGACGTATGTTTCTCGAATAGAAATAGCAAATTCTCGCTTCCGGTAATTGAAATTACCGAACAAACGAAAATTGCAATAGTTTCTATACACGCAAGATAATTATTTTAAATTAAATGAGAACGAATGTTTGAGCTCGCGTAACAATCAAATTTGGCGTAGTTTCAGTAAGAATAATATTTTGCACAATTTGAGATGTAATAATATTTTTTTTTAGATTGCTTATTCTTCTCCGCGCATTACATTCTCCTATTTTACATTTAAATATAATATTACAATAGAGATGCTATTTATATTGTTTCCATTTGCAAATATGCATATTTTGCACTGTGTGTGTATATATATATATATATATATATATATGCATATTTTAACTGTATATTTTAAATTTTAACTCTGTGCGTGGGCGGTGTGTGTGGAGCAACTTTATATATTTTTTTATTTTGATGATTTTTTTTAAATATAAGGTGTAAAAAGAGTTAAATCTCTACGCAAAGTTGTATGTAAATGTTTTCAACAATATATTTAACGCGCAGAAATACGACTCTATCAAACGAAGCGTATTCCGAACGGAGCAGAATTGCACGGAATACATTATTAATATTTATATACCGTTGAGAAAAGTTTAGAAGACTCCGATGAATCTGAAATATAAAGTAGCTACGTCGCAGCAATCCTGTTACAAGTTTTCGCGGACCGTAATATATATCGTGCAAAATATCCAGATGACGAACGAAATTATTCGTGGCGCAACTGTGGCACGTGATATGACATAAGATTACATTAGATGGTATATTGCAGTGTTGCCCAACCTTTTTGTACATGTGAGTTGCTTTTATTTAATAGAGCAAGCTCGCAATCTACTTATGTATGGAAGAAAAAATATAAAATTAGAATGTGACGTATGTTTCAACGTATGTTAAACATATCATGAAGCAAACTAAGCATCAAAATATAAACTAATTAATTAACAAGGAACAAAATAAATATTAAAATTAGAAACATAAATTTTATAAAGAAATAAAACAAAGGAAAAATCAAAATGTGAGGGAGATCTATTAAAAAAATACGTCGCGATCGATCGCGATTGACTGGTTGGGCATCCCTGATATATTGCTTCCACCAAATGTATAATTTTTTCCCTCGATTTACTGTCTGATTTATATTATATATTGAATATTTTATAATCTCTTTCTTCGATTTGAAGAATGAAAACAAATATTGTGCATGATTGTTGCATGATTTTTTATTCTAAATCGTATTTAATATATTTTTGTTTTATATTGTTTTCTAAAAGTTTTATTTTGCTCTATGCGTATCTGGTTATGCAAACTATATTATTTATTTTTTGAATTGCATTAGTGTTAAACGAAATTCAACACGCCTAAGAAATTCTATAAAGCATTATTATTGCTTAATCAATAATAATAATTAATTATTACTTAACCATGTACTAAATGTACGTATAACATTAATAACACACATCGATTTTTTGATCGCGTTTTGATATTGTTAAAAAGTAATCTAAACTATGTATGACTTTTAGTCAGAAAATAGATTTTGCATTGAAGAGTGAAACATCAAAGTGGTCTTTCGCAAAATGCAGAGCAAAAACATGCGCATTGTGACTTGAATTGACGAGATAAAATCGTGTAGGGCCGCAAGCAAAACTGCGGGAAATGTCAATTAACCCGCTACGTACAGTTTACACGTGGCGATATATTTTTCAACGCCCGCGTCACAACAGCATAGTTTGCACATACCCTTTCGAGTTTTGAGTTTTTTTTTTTTATCTCGAAACGTGGCGCGATGCAAATCTCGACTGAAATATGCAGGAGCTGAATTAAATTCTAACGAGCGCAATTCACCTGTCGCCAAGGTGGAACGTGTGTCCCGCCTCGATCTTAGGTAAAGATTCGGAAAGTAGGAAACGATAAAGAGTCTACCTCTACACGTGTTACCGTGGCCTTTTTAATCTCGCGCCCACGACGATCGCATTATACTTAAGATAACCGTCTTTTTATTTATACATCCGCTAGGCGACAAAATAGGAGCGTATTAGAAAATGTCAAGGAACGTGGAATATGTAATCAACACGCTATAGATAAAAAAAAGTCGCGGCGCTTCTACTTTCGATCGCGATGTCAATAAAATATATCTGATAGTGTTGAAAGATGACGAATAAAATATTAGAGAAAGGTGAAATAATAGATAAAGGTGATGAAGTGGAACTGAGACTGCACCTTGCAACGATAACCACTGGCACCGAAAATATTTGAAAATATTACTCGAGTCGTATGTTTGTTATGCCGGACAGGTTTTAGTAACGAGAAAAAAGTAATAGCGTGCACGCACGAACGAGGTGATATCGACGCAAGCCTTTATCAGTACTTTAACCCCGTATGATGCCGTGGCTCTCTTTATTCATGAGAAAATAGATGATTGCAGCGCGAGAGAATGAAAATATGAAAAACAAACGTAATTTAGAGGAAGGGCGATTTAATGCAATATAATTTACATAACCCAGTATCGGGTTTCGCAAAATAAGTAACTCGATTTTTAAAAAATATCGCGGAAAAGGGAAATTTGTAATTACGAAAGAAGCTCTGCAATTTTGCGCGGTAGCGGTTATTGCATCTCCGAACGATTTTTCACCGCAGTCTCATCTTAATTTCCTTTATGATGAACTTTTGTCGCGACAATCTTCCGCGTTATCTTACGACTTCCAATGGGACTCCTGTTAGAGCGCTAGATTGCATCGCCCTCTTGCCACTCCTAATTAATTAATTCCTCGCTGTCTGCCGACCGCGTTACTCCCGTTTCCACCGACGAATGCAATCTCGCGCGTATACGACGCCTTCCGTGGAGCATCTACCGCAAATGAAATTTTCGAGCGTTCCCCAAGAAAAAGAGAAAGCGTACAAGCATGTAATATCGCGCGCTCACGCCCGACGCTTCGTGTTACCTCGATAGCTTACTTTTATCGACGTTCCGTCGTCTTCGTCACGGCGTGCGTAGACCAGGTGATTTGTCCGGCACTAGTTTACAGCGTTTACGTTTGGTCGCAATTAGTAAAAAGAAAACTTGACACATACAGCGCGAAATCGAATTTAGCACGAACTCCGAGAGCGAGTTTTGTTGTCTCGTCGGTCGAAGCAACTCGCTTGATTCGCATGTAAAACGCAATTACACACACGTGCCGAGTACGTAATGCAATTGTATCCGGTAACTCAGTATATGACGCCTTTAGGCGACGGCGTTTGTCGCGAAAAGTTATTGGAGCAAAATACAACACTTTTAAACATTTCGTAATATTGTATGTGACTTCGATATTAAGTTATTACGAGAAGAAAAATGTTTATAGATGAAATTGAAAATGGAATTAATTATTGTTCGGACAATTACGCCGTTTCTCCAATGTTATCGCGCTTGTATTTATAATAACATTATTGAGACAAACAATTAACGAGAACTACATATATAACCGCAGTTAACACGCTTTAACCTTTCCAGTCCAGCGAATTCAATTGAAATCGTATATAGAGGATGTATCAGATTCTCTGCGCATTTCCTTCTATTTGTGGACTCTGTGGCCAATTGGGAACCAATCTTTGTTCGACAAAAATGTCGAAGCATCAGTAGCTGTCGTGTTTGAAGAAATTGA